GGTGGTGGTGAATGGATAGTTGGGGTCGGTCTGAAGGGGAGGGGCTTAGCTTGGCCCCGGTGGTGGTGAATGGATTTTGGTGTGAACGCAACTAAATCGTAGTTCTCAGGAACCTTTGTGGGAAAAGTACTTGGTGTGAACGCGCCTATACTGTCTCTACTTTTTCACCTTGCTCACATTTCTTCATGACGACAAGCACCGTGTCCTTGAATCCCCCTGAGATCCCCACCCTCACTCAACCCTCTCTCACCTCAATTCCTCTTAAGCAGATGGCCACAGATGGGGAAATAGAGCCCTGTGAACCTGCTGGCATCTGTTTTGGGTCACATTCACCATATCTCTTGCACTCTTCCACTTATGTACAACACACACACACACACACACACACACACACACACACACACACACACACACACAACACAACACACACACACACACACACACACACACACACACACACACAACTTCCTTGTTATGGCCTGGTCAATATGACCACACAGGCTGGTTGATCCGATATGACATCATTACATGTATAATAGGTCTCTCACACACAACAGAGCATATCTGACAATCTGAAAGGGCAGTAAGGCAGGTGCATGAGTGAAAAGATCTAGCAGTACCAGTAACTAGTAAAATGTAATTCAATGTTTAACGTTTTTAACTTGGAAGTAGTATCAAGCCATTTGAATTAACAAATACAATAAATACAGTTTAAGTGCACAAACGCACCACCCCTTCAAAATGTATTGAGTCATCAAAACCTGGGTTTGAATATCAGAGTATGTGATATGTATCAATACTTAATTCAGTGAAACATCTGCTATTGTCCGGCAGAGAATGATTATATTATTTGGAGCACGGGAAAAGACAATCATGATTTTCTGATCTATCTCCAAATTTTTTGTTTGAAAATTCCGAAATAATGCATGTTTGAAATGTATATTTGAAATGCTCTCGAATGATCTAAAATGTGGACCATCATGCAAAAGGAATAAGAGCTTTGAAACCCCTAATATAATTCCTTGTTCTGACTGCATTCCTTGCCACTGTATTAAGAAATACTGTGTCTTATTTAGCTGCAATGCTGAGGATTCAAAAACATGTCAACCTTCTCTGCTTATCGCAGTGCTCATGTGCCACTAGATGAAATGAGGAATATCAGCTGACCAGCAGAGCCTTCATCCACAGCACAGCGAGCCCCATCCATTTCCAAACGACAGATCATTACAGCTCTGATGGTCGACAGATGGTGATGAATTGGCGCTGATACCGGCACTGGGCAATCTGGGAGGCAGTCAGTTGCACAAACTGCTATATCACTTTTTCTCAATGATGTAGCTGTCCTGTGAGTGACAGATCCAGACAGAAGCTCCACCCACCGCCTCCCACACCAACAGTTCACCATGATAGGTATTACCACTGAGATAATGCTTGGGATTGTTGCTTCATGCACAAACAGATGTGTGTTCTCATATAAACAATCACAATTTGCTAAAGACGCTGACTAATATCCAGCATATGGCAACCTAATAAAGTCTAACAAACAGCATGCCACAATTAAGACAACATACACAACAAGACCTGACTTATGAGTGTCCCGTTGAGCAATGCAAAAAAAAAAAAGAACCACAGGGATGTGATACTCCTTCATCGACTAATCCAAACAAGCCAGAGACAGATGATGTTTTTTTTCCTTTAAGCAATGCTGTCATCTAGTGGTG